TTTTGAGAATGATGATGGCAACAAATGTACAAATGTGCTTGACACAATGGATGGATGGGTGGATGGATTAGGATAAGAGTTGTATAAGCCCCCAATAAAGTGATTTGAAAAAAAAAAAAAGAAAAGAAATTGATGATGGTAACAAATGTACAAATGTGCTCCACACAACGGTTGGATATGTGGATTGTGGTAAGAGTTGTATGAGCCCCCAATAAAATGATTTTGGGGGAAAAATAAAAGAAATTGATGATGGTAACAAGTGTGCTCCACACAATAGATGGATGTATAAATTGTGATAAGAGTTGTATGTGGCCTGATAAAATGATTTAAAGTAGAAGAACGAAAAAGGGGATGGCTCTCTCTTTCAATGGATGAGCTGGATTAAGATAGCATCAATGTGTTCAACAATGTGTTCAAACATCGCAGAAATGTGAGCATCATGTAGAAGTGCGCAGTGTTCTCTTCTATTTTCTGGAGGGTCATGGTGACCCCTAATTGGCCTGACAGCACCTAACAGCAGCAAAAAACTCATAAGGGAAGTCAATTTGGAATTCTACTTATTTAAGAAATTTTGCGTCGCTTCCGCCCCCCACAATATGGCAGCGCTCTGGTGACCCGCGGGCGCCATGGTTTTCCTCTCGAAGCAGCTGTGGTTGCGGCACCATATCACTGACAACTACTGGTGGATCCAGGAGGTGCTGAAGCATGCCCAGCACTTTCGAGCAAGGAAGAATCCGTGCTATCGGTTGGCGATCCGAGCTGTGATTGGAGCCTTTGTGAAATGCACAGAAGCACGGAAACTGAAGAAGGGAAACATGAGGGCTCTCTGGATCAATCGAATCACAGCTGCCTCCCAGGAGCATGGCCTGAAGTGCCCAGCTTTGGTTGGCAATTTAGTTAAGTGTCAGGTGGAGCTCAACAGGAAAGTGTTTGCCAACCTGGCCATCTATGAGCCAACGACTTTTAAATCTTTGGCGTCTTTAGACAAAAGGAGGCGAGAAGAGGGATTTGCTGCTTCCCTCTACAGACCTCTGGAAGCGAAGGGTCCAGCCTCCCCTCCTAGTAGGACAGGTCCACAGACTGGTTAGATACAGGTCATGCAAATATAGCTGGTTTGGTGTTCTGCTTTGAAAACTAAATAAATAAATTTTGTATTTCTTTTCTTTCTTTGTCTGTAGGAGGTCTCTTCATATCATATCAGGTTGTTGTCCACTGATGATTTGGATATTTTGAGGGTTTTTTGCGTCTAAGGATCAACACAAATGGATTATCTTACCCATTTTTCAAATTCTTCACAATGGTCACTGAAGTTCTCAATTGTCCTTTGTAGTGTTCTGCCAGACCTCCCAGTGTTTAATAAGTTATTCTATAATTGAATCTACATTCAGCTTCCTTGACAAACTAATAAAATCTGCTCACCAATATGGACTCACCTGGACTTCATATGAACATCTCTATTTCAGGGAAGAAGTCAAACCAAGAATTATATGCCAAGGTTAATAACGAGGAAAAAATTGCTTAGGTGGAACTGCAAAGAGATCAGAAAGATCCCTTGTGAAAGAAGTTTGACCAAAGGACATCTAGTATAAGCCTTTATTGCAAAGTACTTGTTATAAGAAGAGTCCAAAAGAGCACTCTACCTTGACAAAAGGGAAGAGAGTTTACATGGCTTCAGCAGGAATGATTTTGCTAACATTCAAGTTAAATTCATGTGATAGTTAAGGTGATGTCAAAATTAACTAGGCCATGATTGTCAATGGTGTGGTAGATACTATATAATCATCCGTAATCATCCTCCGTTTTGTAAGAAGTGAGCAGCCAATCTATTGAAAGGAGGGTTTCTTTGAGGTGTGGCCTGTATCCAATATCTTGAAATGTCTGGCAAAGCTTGTCCTCTCTTAATCCTGCAACCAACTTATCATCTTCTGACTTCTAAGTCTTCAGATGTGAACCAGAAAATGTTGGCATTTGCCAGCTGTGCTATCTTTGGTATTTACCAGCTTAACCAACCTGCCAATTTGGGGTCTATTAACCTTGTAACCATGCAAGTCAAATGAAGCCTCCGACCTGACTCCTGATCCATGTATTTGAGACTTGCCAGTCTCCACAACTATAGGAGGCATTTCCTTCAAATAAATAGGGCTCCCTATATATTTATACATGGACAATTCACTCATTTTTCTCCAGGAAATCTAGGCTAAGATCCTTAGCACAGGAAAGTTAGTGAAAGTCTAGTTTGTTTCATAAATGACAATAGACAGATTATTTTCATTTGTGAAGTCTTTATTCAAAGGAATGAAAAGAAATAATTAGGGGTTAAAGTCATATGCAAGAAGGGGTGGGAAGGAACAATTGAGGATGAAGTGGGTTGGGGAGATAATGGCCACAGCAGAAAATTCTCAAGTATCAAATTCATTAGTGTCTCTTACATATAATAGAAACAAAGCTTGTTTTCTCACAGAAGCTTTCTTTACCTTCATTCAGAGTGTTTTCCACCACTATGATCATGTCAGTGGGGTGGCCTCTTATTGCTGGACTTCTGTTGGTAAGTCTCCCTAGACTACATCACCAATTATCGACTATATTAGACTGCAAATAGTTCTAGAAGAATGGGAGAAGTATGTCTTTTGATTAGCTTCTATTTTTATAAATGAACTATTCGAATTGTCAGAAATTTTTCACAGTGGGATTCAAAGGAAAAAGGTAAAAATCCAATAAATAAAGTTTCCCATATTACTATCTATCCATATAAATGTGATTTGAAAATAATTTAGCTCTGCTCTTTTAATCTTTCAAAGTCTCAAGATAATAAAGTATAATTTTTAAAAAGAAAATTCCCAGTACTTGGATGCTTGCTTATTTTGGTTCACAGAACGCTGGCACTCTTAGAAACCAACCCTTTAATATGCAACATTGGAATGGAAGTCAAATAGGAAAAAGTATTGGTTCTTTTGACATAAAACCTCAGCTGAATATAACTTTCTGGTGACATTTTAGCCTTTTTCTCATTCATCTTGGACAGAAATAAGTGGAAAGATAGGAACCAATGAAAGAGGGGGAGGGAAATATTAAAAAGTTTTTCCAGATGATTTGAAACCCTGGGAAGCATTCCGTTCTGGTTCAACCTGGGGTACAAGTTAGTCTACTTATTTTTGCTTTGAACCATACAGTTGCTTCCTGAACTGAATGTTCATCCCTGCCTTGTGAACAAGTCCCACTGCAGCGAGAGGTGAAATTTTTGGAGAGGTTTCCATAAATCTGAGTCACTGAAGGGAAATCGTGTTACTTTTGTCCTTTCTCCACTTCATGATTAAAAATATTATACTAATAAAAGCATTGTTTTAGCCTTAAATTTCAAAGGAAGTTTTAACATTTATGGATCTTGGCAAAAGTGAATCATTTAGAAACTACTTATTCCAGCTTTGAGACAGATGTAGAGTAACATGCTGTAGGTGTTACTTGTCTCTACTTAGGAATCTCATGAAATATAAAACCCATTCACTATTAAATTTAAGTCTTATTTGAGGTTTATTTGAACTTGTTTTTGCAATGTGCACTGAGTGTATAAAGATTGACTTTGTCCAAACCATTCATTTAATTGGGTTTGACTGCATGCTGAGTGCACCATGTACCAGGCGTGACAGTGTTTTTTGTAAAGAAAATTAAGTCTAGTTCTAAAATAGCAGAGAAATAGGGATTCTGTTGTCATCGTTTAATACAGAAACCACCAGAAACAGGACACAGATGTCCATCATTGTAGTTATGTATATATTTTATTTTATTTTTTTTGTGTGTGATCCAAGTGAGTTTTATGAGCATTAGAAGTTATGTATATATTTTAAAAAGCATTTGACAAATCATATACATTTTGGAATCAGTTGGTTCTTTCACAAATATTTTTTCTGTTCCATTTGCCTTTCAACTACTACATTCCACTAAATGCAGTATTCAGAATGTTTTCAATTGTTCCAAGAAAATGAGCTGTAAAAGCAATATAATTTTTAGAGTTATGCTTTTAAAATTATGCAAAGATGATATTTCTATACTTAAAAGGATCTGCTTGAGAGAGTTCAATTTAATAATTCTATGTCAAATAACCACTATTATTCTGACAGTTTGTCATTTTGTGGTAGCTTGTGTATTGCTATGATGCTAAAGTTATGTCCCTGGTATTTCAAATACCAGCATGGTTACCTATGGTTTTATTAGAATGTACAGACTAAGACAGACCAGAAGGAAGAAAGAAACAATTCACTTACAGAAAATTAGCCTCTCAAAACCACATCTGTAGCAGGGGATCATTATCTGACCTAATGCCAGAAAATGAGCCCTTTAGGTTAGAAAGTACCCTATATACCATACAAGCTGATCCGAATCTTAGCCGGAAAAACTCAGTTTATACGGTATTCAATACATGACTGAGGAAGAGCTGCCTCTACAGAATAGAGTCAATCTTAATGATATGGATGGAGTAAAGCTTTCCAGAACTTCATCTGTTGGAGTGGCATAAGTCAAAATGAGAAGAAAATGTAAGAAATGTCCATTGATAATTGAAACTTGGAATATACAAAGGATAAGTCAAGAAAAAATAGGAGGTTCTCAAAAAATGAAATGGAATGCTTCTAGATTGATATCTTGGGTGTTAGTAAGTTGAAATGGATCGGAATAAGCCATTTTGAATCAAACAATCTTATTTATGGTCTGCTCTGCTGGGAATAACAAATTGAAAATATATAAAATATAAATCATCATAAAGAACATTTTAAGATCTCTCTTGAATTCATTTGATCAGTAATAAAATAGTATCTCTAAGCCTACAAGAAAGGTCAGTTAATACAATATGCCATTTACACACCAATCACTAGTAGCAAAGATGAAAAATTTGAAGTTTTGTGGGTTTTTTTTTACCAGTTTCTACAAGATGAAGTTGATCAAACGTATAATGAAGGTATGTTGATGATTAGCATGTGGAACTTGAAAGTCAAGAGAAAAGATTAGTAGTTGGAAGATAAGACCTTGGTGATAAAAGCTGAAATGCAGGATAGAATTGTGTAACACCAATGACTTACTCATTAGAAAATACTTTTTTTAAGCCTGTAAATAGTTCAAGGACTGTTTGTTGACCTTTCGGGGTGCTTTCTGGTCAAGTGTGATGGAGTACCACGCCCTGGCCCCAAAGTCTAATTTTGGTACTCCCTTGCTCTGTTGCCCGTCCTTAGCGGTTTGCCCCAATGTGGTGGGGTCAGATTGGGTGCAATTCCCACCCTGTGTCTTCAGTGTTGTCCCCTGTAGGGATATGGGTCAATGAGGGATGTCGTGTCTTATAGTGGGGCCGGCCATATGGTCCTCTCTGTGCTTTGGCTGCTCTACGCAGGGATATTTTCCTCAAGGCTTGGTGGACCAGGATGTGCCACTCTCTCTTCCTCCAGAAAATACTTTTTACAACAATAGAAACTCTGTATGCATATGAACTTCACTGGGTTGAATGCTCATGAACAAAATTGATGAAATCTATTAAAAGAAACAATACAGAAGTTCAATATCATCAGTAAAATTTAGGCCAGAGTCACATTGCTCGTATGCAAGTTGAAGTTGAAGATGTAGGAAATCTACATAAGTGTGTCAGTCCGGGTTGACAAGAGAAACAAACTCACAGACACTTGTACATGTATAACAAAGAGCTTCATTTAACTTCAAGCCTTTAAGATCCCAGACACTATATCTTTTAATAGCCGGGCACCATCCACATTCTTCACCACATTTGCTTATATACCCGTTTTGTCTTCAGTGATTGTGTCAGGAGGGTGAGCATCTCAGAATGCTGATTTGTTAGAACAAAATGTTCTTGTATCAAGGGAGGGTATGAGCAGAGACCCCAAGTCCATCCACTACCACAGTGTATTGCCATATGAATATATGTACATAGGCCAATACTTCTATTTTTGTGGATAAATATATTTACATATGTACACACGTATGCTTATACCTCTATCCATTGCTTTGCTTCCTAGGTCCTTCCTCTGTTTCCTTTACCTTCCTCCTGCCCCTTTCTCTTAGCTAGCTTGCTGTTGCTCTGACACCCTCAGGT